CCACTTATGGCCTCGTATTTTGGCTTTTCGTCCTCTCACTTTGATAGGAAAGCACCTCAACCACGGAGAGGCAGTGAGTAGGGCTTCCTCAACCTAGGCTATTTAGACACTTGGTCGTATAGGTTCATTTCTCGAAGTGCGTGGGAGGGGCGACCAGACATAACCCGAGACACCNACCCCCGACCATACAGAGGCCTTCGAAGGTGGATGCTATCATAGTTCAGCAGGAACTGAAGTGAGAACTAACATACAAAACTGGATAGCGTCTATCTGCGTCTGTAAGGAATTTCTAATGAGAACTATAACTACTGCGCAAGAGCAATTTCCATACGAAAATACACAACGATAAATCAATATTTGTGAAAGTTTACATGTAGCTCATTCAAGAAGTACGTGTATTGGTGATCATAAGAAGCACAGTATATAAACGTTGAAGGGGACCAGGGTCAAGCGACCATCGTTGTTTGTTGCACGTAGGAGAGGGTAAGAGCGGCGAAGAATCCCGGGTACGAAGCTGTGCTACCCAGATAGGCCCGGATGTCATCTGACAGACGCTGGCTGAACTGATTTTCTTTTAACACCAGTTGGCCATCGATGCGCTATCGAGTCAATGGGATAGACAGCGGGGGTGAGGATATCAGAAAGATAAGCGCTTTCAGTTCGTATACAGAAAAGTTGCACAAATACCGATAAGTAGGATGAACTGATCAGACAAAGCAATGATCGCATGCAAATAGATGTGTGAATATTTGGCAGTACAAGCACACAAAAACATTGCACTGGATGAGTCCAATCGAGGTTGTGAACTCGGTGGGGATAAGAGGCCCTGAACGATGGCACACCAACAGCCTAATTAACATTTTACACACTGGTTGATGGTACAGGGAACAGAATGTGTCAAAGGTCCATCATCATGAGAGTGCATCTTGACGTGGTGGGATGGCGTGTGCACCTATATGACCCAACGAGCTATATAGGATGACTTTTATCAAGCCTGGAAGGTTACAGAAAAATATCTCCTTGTCCTCCAGGTTGGGGGTTCGACTCTAGCTAGCGCCTCAGTCGGTAAAATGGTAGAGGAGTAATCGATTCAAGTAAATGGGCCTCTACTTCACCTTACTCGCTGTCTTTCGGGCAGATTCTTGTTAGAACTAACGGCTTTGGACGAGAACCCTAATCGTTCTCCAGCTTGGTAGCTGGACACCATGCCAGTACCTGTCCATCAAACTCTAATGCATACACAAACAAAAATAACCCTATACTGCATCGGTCGTCGCGCAGGATAATCAAGATCGCGCTTCCCATTGAGTAGAGCGAAATAGGTAGTGATTATTAGGCTACTGCTCAAACACATCTAACTTTGTTTAACTCTTCGTTTTCCGTACCCAACCCTCTCTCTTTACTCCCTCTTCCGACCCGTAACATTCCTTCAAACAACTTGTTCACCACTCATCGAATTTCGTTGCCAAGCAGCGTTGAAAGTAGTTTATCACGAAACAGATTGGAGATTCTGAAGCCTCGTCAATCACCGGGTCTGGAGGCCTTCAACGAAAGGACTATGGTGCAGGTGCGTCAACAAGCGCGTCTGGCGCGTAAAGTGGACTCTTTTGGGACTAATGTCTGCTGCTTATCGTGGACGCGAACCAAAGGTCCTAGTAATAGAAGCCACTTAAGTGCAGCGGATTTGTTTCTGAGATGCTTTCTCCACACATCAGGTGACGACGAAGCCCGTTCAGTAAATTAGCTTGGCGTAGGCATTATACTCAATAATACAGCCGAAGCGTCACTAATCGATGGCATCCCCGTCAACAGTGGCTTATGTGCGATGCGGCTCCAAGGGTCTATCAGCGTCCCAAAAGGTGTTTGTCCATCATTTCAGCGTATACACCGAGCAACTGCAGTTCTGACGCACAATAAGACGAGTTCTATGATACAATCACCGAACTCATTTGGTTGAGTCCAAGCTCTCATATAGTTGTGTTCGCAGGCGATTGTAACGCGCAATTTGGGAAATTGAGCGCATCGGAAGCTTGCCCATGCAGTTGTTATGCTCCACCCTGGCAAAGAAACAGATAACGGCGATCGACTTCTTCAGTTCTGCAAAGATCAACATCTATTCCTAACCAGTAGCAACTTCCGACGCAGCTCTCAACGGACAGTAACGTGGCGCTCCAATTCAAACCATTCGCTAACTCTAATCCATCGCATCGTAGTAAGATACCATTGGCGTAGCTCAGCACAAAACTGCAGGTCTTACTGGACCACCTGCGTTGAATTTGACCACGCATTAGTTTTGATGCAGTTCACTCTCCGATGCACTGGTCGCAGACCAACCCACTAAACTCGGTTGGTAGATTATCGCTTATCTGACAAAGCCGTTCGTGCGCGTTTTGGATCAGAACTAGGACCAGAGCTAAGCGCGCTGCAGTGTGGTAGTGTCGATAAACAATGGGATCAGGTTAGACGACCAACGCGCTTTGCAACGAGGGTTGCTTGTGGATCCAAAGCGGCAGCCCATTCGAGGCGTTGAATATTTGATGTGTAAGTAGCACTGGTGGAGCAAAAGCGACAAATCCCGACCGACCGCGATCAAATCAGGGATAGGTGGCGTTTTCAACAGCATACGAAAGCTGTTCCAGCCGATACGCAACACGGGAAGTCGGCGGAACACGGTTAGTGAAACAATTTGCGACAAAGGTGGACAAGCTATTCAGTGGGGAGCAATGGCTTGACCGGTGGGCGAAGTACTTCAGCGAGCAGTTCAGCTGGCCAAGCACTAACCAGAGTATCTCGTCTGTTGTAGCTGAATCTCTGTGGGCAGTGTCATGTGAACCACCTCCTGAAGCAGAAGTACTATCTTGCATCCAAGTCCTGAAGAAAGGAAACCGTGCGAGACCTGACGGGCTCCCCGCTAGTCTTTGCACGATGGAGGGCACAGTCTCTGGTCATGCTGAAGCGGATCCCTGATTACTCCAATTTCTAAGAAGAGATCTCGCAACGACTGCGCAAACCACCATAGAATAAGTTTGATCCCAATCTTCCCCAATTTACCAGCCTTCATCATACTACGACGTCTGACACCGTTTAGGACGACAAACATCCGCGAACTAGGAGCAGGATCTCAACGAGGTCGCGGTTGTATCGATCGAATCTCCACTCTGTGTCAAGTCATCAATCGAAGCCATACACACCGTCAACCAACGATTGTCGTGTACCTTAACCTATAAGAATCCCTTAAGGGCTCGCTCCTTCGTAAAGGAATGCCGCAGAAGTATGCGAATATACTGAGGTCACCCTACATGTATACTTCTGGTGTCGTAAGGGTATACGGTGAGCTGAGTGGGGCGTTCGCAACTAGTAGCGGGGTTAGTCCAGCGTGCCCTATTTCGCCATTCCCGTTCAATTTCGTCATAGACGAAATACCGGAGAATGCAATAAATGGTCTCCAAAATGTTGGTGTTGAATACGCAGCTGGAGAAAATATGTGCGATTGAGAGTACGCTGAGGACCTCGTTTGCCTGCTCGAATGTATGGATGGTGCACAAAACGCATTTGACACACTAGCAAGTTATGTTGCTCCAGTCGACATGCGCTTTCCACCTTCAAAGTTCAAAGTGATGCTGTAAGATTGTATTACGCTGTACAATGATGATGACATTGTGAACTTGATAGAGACCAGTGAAGATCGCTTCGGGGTATCTTGGTATACAATGATGATGATGACGAAAACGCCAACATATTCATTGCGATGAATCCAAATCGACCACATCATCATGGTTTCCGCTAGAGAAGGTCTATTCGAGACTGCCACTCTCACTGGTCGACACCTGTGGATACGGACCACGCTTTGTTACGAGCCCAATTCTTCTTACGCCTGGCAAACACCCGGAATAAAGCCATCGGAAACGGATACCCACGATACAACATCAGTGATAGTTCCAAATTAGAACTCGAAGCAGAGCTCCCCGATCGGCTTTCAATTCAACCACCAGCCGAAAGACTCAAAGACCACTGGAAACAAATCAAGGAAGCTATGCAAATATTGACAAAAGCAATGGAGGACTCTGGAGAAGGCTCAAAACACAAAGGATGGATCTCTCGGCTGTCCTGATCGACGCCCGCGGAAGCTTTCCTCCTGAAATCACTTATGACAACCTGGTCATCAAGAGTTTGAGGAATGACTGCGACAGCTGGTGGATAGGGAAGTGTATTGAGATAGATAAAGTTGCGGTTTTTCTATTTTACCCATCTGAGTGTGATGAACAGAAGACCAGGTCAAACCCCTAGTCATGAGGATCTACTGTTCAATGATGGAAACCGTTAATCTAAGTCTCGAGTGGTGAACCACATATGGTCCTGCTAGGTTAGGCATGGTACTTAAGCGGACAACAGCTAAGTTGCCTGTACCCGAAATTGGGTTGCGGTGGCGTTGGCGGGACTGGAACTTGGAACAATAGGATTCAAGCATGCCGGTGACTGGAACTCATTCAGTGCACCACAAACCACGGCAATAGTCACAATCTTTCTCGTTTAATTAGTAAAGCGGGCCCCAGGAAAATCCGTGTAAGATAGGTAATTATGTAATCCGATAACCCATTGAATCGACACCAGCAACACCATCTTGATCGATGGGCTTAATAATTCGAGGCTCAGTTCAACTGGTCCCCATCGACATTAGACATGTCCCTCCCCACTTCGTCTGAGAAATACTCCCAGCTGATGCCAGTCCTCCATCTGAAATAGAGGTTCAGTGACTTGTGTTCTTCCTAATCAGGGGCGTACAGTTGTCACAGGTAATAAGNNAAAGACATAAGGCTCCCGGCTCACTTGGGCTGTCCTCCTCGGTTTTTAAGGATGGACGTTCAGCCTTGGTTTTAGAATTAACGAAACTCCTGGGCTGAATATGGGAGAATGAGTTTAATCAAGATTGCTTCTAGAATTTTCGCTGTCGACTGTCTGCCGCACGTGAATGGTGCACGCGTCAGAACTAGTTTAGTTTTATACCTGTTTGAGGTTGTATAAACCACCGTTTCACCCTTGGACAAATTTTCGAACACAGATACGCCTTTCGTAGATTCACCATTTCTGCCTTCCTCGATCGGAAAGCGGTGTTGGACTCAGTCGACCGCGGTAAAGTCTCTCGCTGCCTCGCTCTGATGGGTGCGCCGGAGAAGCTTATTCCAATATTAGGATCCCTCTGTGCTCGTAGCCAAATCCAAGTTCGATCTTACGGTAACATTTCGCCCCAATTCACCACGGAAAGTGGTGTTCGTCAGGGTTGCCCTCTCTCTGCTGTTTTTTAAAACAATTGTTATGGATTTGATTATGGAAACAGCCCTATCCTGGAGCGAGGATAGCTATATCGGTTTGCTCCCATAGGGTAAATTGTCTGATATAG